ATTTATCTTCTTTCATTTCCCAGATTCTAGACTTTCTGTATTAAAAGGTTTCCGTTTTTAGAAAAAGACAAAGTTCTAAAAAAGCGCAACAAACCATCCGCATCATTTGTTTTGCGTTAATGATGACAGAAAATTTGTCTCAATTAATAAACAACTTTTTCGTTAATGAAAAAAAGCCCTATCTTTTCCATCGATTTCTTAATACTCTGGTTGGCTTAAAGTCAGTTGATAACTGATACCATTATATTATGTTTGTTTTTTTTATATCTAATTTCATGAAGTCGAGCGCAGTTTATGAGGCTAATTTATGCACGTTTGTATTAAGATCTGAGACAATGATCTGATCTAGTATATATAAGCTTACAGAACTTTAAAAAGCCTTTAGTCGATATTTTCTCTCCGCATATAGAACGAAAAAACGTTCCGAAGAGTATTTAGTTATAATTTTGGCTGTAGAAAGAAAGCTTTGAGCGATTTTCTTGCTTCGAGTTCATCTTTGAAAACAGTAAACACCAGGAAGCCGGCTAAAAGCTTTAAGCTTAAGCTTAAAGACTCACGATTTTTAGAGACGCTTTAATACTTGTCTTCGTGAATAAAAATTGTTGTCTCTGTAAATGTTTCACCGAATTACATTTCTTTTATTGATTGCTAGTAGTCTCTTACAATTTTAATCGCTTTGCCGTTTGTTTTCAGTCGTTCATAAACAACGCTTGCAGGAGTACTCAAAATGCTGCTCGTATCAAACGCTTTTTAAGACTACACATCGTTATAAAACCATTTAATAAAAAAAATAAACACAATAAATTCTTTATTATGTTGAAGCGTAACTCTTTTAATGTTCACTGAAAATTTGGCGCTTGTCAAAAGTGAGAACCGGCTGGCCGTATAGGTGATTTTGGAAATTTTTTGAACGGTTTTGCTAAAAGCCCACGCGTACTTCGTACGGTTCTGAATATTGAATGAGTGCAATTTGTCTTGAAAAATTGTGAAATACTGCATTTTGTCTGAGGTCTATATGATAAAAACAACGCCTCATATTACTGTTCCAGATGTGATGTATAAAAAGTATGAAATGTTGGTTTACACGCTCCCAGAGTTGTTGGCAAGATTTTGTTAAGTAAACTTGTCGAACGCAAAAAATTCGGCCTGATTTGTTTTCCAAAAATTCGTTTTCCAGGCCTAATCTACTGTGATCAAGAGCCATTATGGCTCTAAAATGTGATCGAAGATAATTGCTATTTTTTGGGTGTATATATACGGCTATCAATTCGATGTAAGATTTTTTTTTTACTCTAAAATCACTTAGCCTTAGCTTTCCCTTAAAGTTAACTGATTTGTGGATTACAAGTTTATTGTTTGATTAAAATTATAAATTTATTAATGGGAGCTTCGCTTTTAGCCCTGGCTAAATCTATATATTAATTATTGTCAGCGGAGGGCTGATTCGGCTGGCTAGGGCAAATTAAGAACAAGGTATTTGCCAGTAAAAGTCCTCCACTAAACACTGCTCCTTAATGAAGGAGTTGTGTCAAAATAGCCCCGGCCCCTTCCTATCCCACTAGTCCCAGCCCCACCAGGCCTGATCCACCCACCCACTGTTAGGGCAGTGCCTATGCAGCTGTGCCGACCAAGACTGAAAGCCCACTACAGTTTTGGAGACCGCACTGGCCTGGAGCCGGGCTGCAAGCAAACACAGAATGAAACAAGGTAAAAGCGAGGCTAAATGCGAAGCTATTATTTTGATTTTAACTCAAGACTTCTGCGATATCGACTCCTCGTACCACCAACACCAAACAATTAGCACAACGTAAAATACCGCTTACAAATGAAGCGCCACGTTGGCTTTATCGTTTTTCAAAACTCAGCCGTCAATTTTACTCTCGCCTAACTCATTTGACTCCTAAGAGCCTGTTCCCGAGGCCAAAGACTTAGTGGTCACCTTACTGAAAGCAAACAATATCGTACCTTTCTGTCTCAGCCCGGATCAATAAACAAATAAACGTAAATAAACATAAACAATTAGAGTGTAGAGAGTTTGTTAAATATTTAGGGGTTCTCTGATAGACTACAAACTTTCTTGGAATAACCACATTGACACAATTGTTTTAAAAATCAGAAGAACTCTTGGGCTATTATCGAAACTGCGACATTTTGTTCCCTTTAGCACACTTATTTCCACTCTCTGATAGCACACTATCTTCGATACGGTCTGATTGCATGGGGTCAAGCAAGCAAATCACAACTAAACAAACTTCTAGTCCTTCAGAAACGCGCTCTTCGCTTTATTCACTTTGCTAACCGCGTGATCATGCCATTCCTCTCTTTATCAATACAAAAATATAACCAATAAACTTTCTCTATTATCAGCTACTAGCAGAAACAATGTCTGACGTGAGCAACAACTTACAAACATTCAGGAATTGTTCCTTCCACTTTCTCGTGCACATTCATACAGCACTAGATCGTCTACATCTCAAAACGTTTGTATGAAAAAATCGAATCTTGAAATCCAAAAAAACTCTTTCTCAAGACTTGATGCCAAATTATGGAATGAGATACCGATACCTTTAAAAACACAAATTCAAATTTAATATTCATGCATCATTGCTTGTTATACTGGAGACTGGCGATACTTATTATGAAATAGATGAAATTATTCTTAAAATGAAGCTGAAAGCAGAACCAATTTTTTTGTACTCCTGCCTATAAAAACAGCGAGCTAATGTTTTGTTTTCCTTTCCTCCTTAGAGTTTTCAATACATCTTTTTCATATTTTTTTCTGCGTAAGATTATAATTTTTTTGCAATTAGTTAACCGCTCCATATTAGTAGTGGTATAATGGGGTTTCTGGCTCACTAAGACCCGGAATACCATATATGGTCATAAAAAAGGAAATACAGCATTCTGATTGGTTAATTTACCTATTATAATAACCGGGTCCTAGAAGGACCCGGTGAGTATAACCATTTAGTCGTTCCATATAGTCTCCCATATAGTCTCCCATATAACCTCTATACCTTATAGTCTCCTTTCAGAGACCCGTCAATTCTTACCATAGAACCTCCATACCTTATAGTCTCCTTTCAGAGACCCGCCAATTCTTACCATAGAACCTCCATACCTTATAGTCTCCTTTTAGTTAATATAAGCACAAAGAACCCTTTCAATTAATATAGTCTCTCAACCATACCATATAGTCTCCCAGAGCAAATATTAATGAAAATAAAAGGTTTTGATTGATCCATTCATACCACGTGATATCGAAGCATTTCTGAGATAACATTCAATGGAAGGGTCTCTCCATAAGTTTATCATTCAAGGGTCTCAGTTATTTGAAGGGTCTCTCCATATAATCACCTCACCAGAGATACTTGGTTCTCTTTGATCTTACTATTTTTAAGAGCCTTAGTATTTTTGAATTCATCTATTTATGTATGTGTGCCTGTAGTGTGCCTATAGTGTGCCTGTAGTGTGCCTGTAGTGTGCCTGTAGTGTGCCTGCGGTGTGCCTGTAGTGTGCCTGTGGTATACCTGTAGTGTGTCTGTAGTGTGCCTATAGTGTGGATTTGTGTCTGTGCTATGTTAATTTTTATTACTACTACTACTGCATGTAATTTTAATAGTGTGTAATTGTATGTATGTATTACTTACATGTCATTTTAATTATGTCTTATTTTTAGCTGCATGTAATTGCAATTATATGTAATTTAGTCATGTGTATTATCTATCTCCAAATTTGTCTAAGTCATTAAATGTTTCTAGTCTAAGCACTTAAAATAAAGTTATACTTTACTATAGATCTTCTTCTTTCTTTTTAGTTCTTAACAGCTTTAAAAGTTTTTTTACCTGACAGCGAGCTTCTCTGATTTTATTACTCGCGTGTATTTAGTTGCGTGTAATTTTAGTTGCGTGTCATTTCAGTCACGCGTAATTTTTTAGTTGCGTGTATTTTTTAGTCGCGTGTAATTTTTTAGTCGCGTGTAATTTTTGTTGCATGTATTTTAGTTTCATGTACACTGTATTTTATTTATTATGTTACATTCATAGTGTACATCTGCTATTGCACAGTACAAAACATATCGCAAACTTTAAATTTTTACAGTGTGCATTTGTCATTGCACTGTATAAAACATTTCGCCAATTGAAAAATGCAGTAAAACACTGCAAGTTCAATTTAAAATCTGCAGACTTTTTAGACCTATTTCCCATACATTTCCTTCTAATTTTTGATTTGTAGCGTGCATGGACCATTGCACAGTATAAAACATTTCACAAATCCAAATATGTTGAAAAACACTGCAAGTTCAATTTAAAATGTGCAGACTTTTACTGCAACTTATTTTTTAAAGTGTTGAAAAACACTACAAGACAAAAATTCTTAAGGCCCCTAAGAAAAATTCTTAAGGTCCTCAAGGCCCCTACAAGGCCCCTAAGGTTCCAAGGAGTATTATAAGTGATCTATTCCAGTAATAAGGCTTCAAGAAGCTTTCATAAAACACTCATCCTAATGACACAATGAACGTTAGCCAGTGGTCTTAGAAAGAAAAAAAGAAGAAGAAAAAGAAAAAACCCGTAAGCTTAAACGTTAGTGCTAATGCGTAGCGCTTTGTGCTATGTATATGATAAAAGAAGAAGAAACAAGTCTTTCCAATACTATTAGTATTAATCATGTTATAGTGTGTAACGTTTTCTAAGAGATTTATGGATGCGCTCCACTGAGTGGTTTCATATGCTAATTCACATACAGTTCAAAATTTACATGAAAATTCCCTGAGTCAGCAAAACAATCTAAGACAAGCAAAGGCATGCCTAGTAAACCATTTAAGTGATATGAGATCTGAAAAATTATTTAGAAAGCAGAGAAGTACATATCCAACGAAGTGACCTTCTGGATCGTAACATCTTTTATAGCTATCACATGGAATGAAGTTTAAGGGTATGTATATATGGTTTCATATGCTAATTCACGTTTAGAAGGAAATTTGGAGGCCTTATAACAAAATGGATGAAATCATGGACGGGTTAGCAGATCAGCTTACTATGAAACAAAACTTGAATGGAGGATTGCTCATACAGTTGTCTTTCAAAGAGGAAAACTAGATTGCAGTCAAAGTCAACAACTAAAATCCTTAAGTGTGAAAAAGTAAACAAAATAAAATTCTTAAGTGTGAAAAAGTCAACAAAATAAAATTCTTAAGTGTGAAAAAGTCTGCAACTAAAAAATCTTATGTGTGAAAAAGTCTGCAACTTAAATTGTCATGTGTAGTTTCATCGGCCTATACCGGCCTACATCGTCCTACATCCTCCTATACCGGCCTACATCGGCAAATACCGGCCTACATCGTCCTACATCGTCCTATACCGGCCTATACCGGCCTATACCGGCCTAAATACTATAAATAGGGATCAAACACTTATGTAACATTTTCATTTGTGTTAAGACTTCATTGCGTAAACATGCCCTACAAGTTTAGACGAGTGTGCCCGCTATGTTATAGACAGGATTTGCTATACTTAGCTGATCATTTACGTCAAGTGCACAAGTTATCGTGTGAGCAACGACAACCACTATTAAAGGCAGCGATATTTTCTCATCAAGTGACTCCAACAGTATTCCCAGGAGTTCAACCTCAAGGATTGTATTCCCCTCACATTTTTCAACATGGAATGCCACAATATACAATGAACGCACCGTTCCCTCCACCAAGTATAGAGAATTTAACCACCGTTCCAGCGTCTAATCTGTCTCAAAGTATGAAACCGAAACAATGCAAAGTCACCAAGTTACCAACACGTCAGTGTTTAGAGACACAAACTTACCCCGAGTTTAAGTTTCATCACATGTTTTCCATGCTTGTAGTAGGACCAACGCAATGTGGGAAAACCTATTTTGTGCAACAAGTATTAACCAAGAATTGTATCGAATACCCAAGTGAGAAACCTACACAGATTTACTGGTTCTATAATCAATGGCAACCAAGGTATGATGCATTAAAACGAGCGCTAAAAAAGAGGATCCTGTTTACCCAAGGGTTACCAGACCTAAGCGAAGATCTCCATGAAATCAATCCTGAGTATAACAATATTTTGGTGTTTGATGATTTGATGAGTCAAGCCACCGATAGTCCTGTGTTATCAAAATTGTTTACCCAAGGAAGACATCGCAATGCTAGTGTGATCCTGCTCCTTCAGAATATGTTTCCGAGGGGAAAATACAACACAGATATTAGTCGGAATGCGCAGTATTTGGCGTTGTTCCGCAGCCCAAGCGATCGAAAACAAATCGGAATTGTTGCTGAGAGAATATTTACTAAGGATCGCAAAAACTTTATGTCCGCGTATGTTAAAGAAACCGAAAAACCCTATGGGTATATTTTGATTGACAATCAGCCAAAAACCACAAGTGAGAAACAAGTGATCTCCGATGTGTTTGGACAGTGTAAAAGTTATCCACACATCAGTACACAGTCAGAGGAAACCCATGTTACCACAGACGTACAGTCACCCGTTACAGGAAACGTCAAATGTCCATTGCCGAAGCAACCCGTGAAACGTAAACCTGAGAATGAAAAGCCACCCGCCAAGAAAGCGAAAACAGTGAAAGCGACTGCAAAGAAAGTTAAAACATTGCCTAAGACACAAAGTAAATCCAAACCAAAGTACCCTACAGCTAAGATGCGATGGGAGAGCTTTACTCCCAGGAACAGTCATTTTTAGAACAGAACTTGTAACTTGATGAATAAAATCTCTTTTTTCTTATTTTTCTCTTTTGTTCCTTTTTACTAATGTGAACCACTAAAGAAATCGAAATTTTCAACGACCCCTTTCCCTAATACCCCTTCTATTTATAGACACAGAGACCACACAAGGTTTTTAACTATTTTAAACTTAGTTTAATACGTCATTTTAACTTCCTTCAGTTACAATTCCTTAATTTATTCTCAAAAACAAAGCATGCAAATGTTCTTATCAGGGGTTCGGGCTTCCAAGCTACTGTACCCCCTAAGAAATCCTAGAAAAAAGCTAAAGCGGGTTGGCGCCTCCATGCTACCTTACCTCCACGAGATACCTAATAAAGCCTTAATAAAGTATGAAAAAGCCTTAATAAAGTCTACTTCCAAAAAGAAGCGAGATAAGCATGAAACTTATTACTTGTTGGAGGAGCTAACGGTAAGTCTATACTAGACTGATTTCCATGAGATTCCATGACGATGTCTGCTTTTGAAAGACTTGTGTTGTTGGTACTTGCTAATGATAGCGCTTTCATGGAGTTAGCTAGTCCTTCCTCAGATGGTTCTTCTTCAGTAGATGTTTGAGAAGGTCTTGTTATTCCATTCTGATAATGACCGTGTGCTCTCGTAGTAAATCCGTCCTCGAGGATATACCGTTTATCATCGAATGGACTGAGTGATTTTTTGGTCTGCTTGATGGTGTGTAGTTGATGCTGATGACTGCGAAAATTCACCATAGAATGTTGAAATTCTCTTTTCTCCATCAAACAATCTTTGAAATCTTGATGTCTCACTTCTTTCTTTAAGACACTTTTCTTGATCCCTTTGCCTGTTTTTTTCTCTTTCCCATCCTCAAGCTTTATGGAATACATTTTAGCCCGGAGGCCAATCCACTCAACAATAGGGAGTCCACCCGTCTCGTCTTTAAACTTTCCAATGATCTTTTTGTTTGTTGTGCTGTATAGAAAATGTTCTTTGGGATAATTGCTGGTGTCATATAAGTGCTGATCCTGTTTCATGTCTTGATACAGGTCTTCGGCGGTGATGTGATAGGTGAGACTGTCTGTGTCAGTGAATAAGAGCTTCGCTTTCTCAGGCCCGTACTTTTTCATTATGTGATTATAATGAAAATCGTACATGTGAAGTTTACTAAGCTCCAAGACTGTGAAGCCAGTGTAGATAGGCTTGTCTAGCTTTACAGAGGTACGTTTTGCTTCCAATCCAACAAAGTACTCCTGCTTTTCTTCATCATTCACGAAGACAACACTTCTTTTGTAGGTGACTTTTGCTGTATGTTTTTTAAACATAGCTGGCTCTGTGATCAACTTAATGTTAACACGTTTTCTTACATCTTCCATTGTTTTTCCGAATACGCTGTTGTTCATAAGCTTGAAAAAATCTTTCTCAAACTCATTGGCAGCAGCGGCTCTCAATTGTGTGTTGTGTTGAATGTATGGTTTCAGCCATGGTTGCTGCTTGAACTGTAGGGCTCGGTGAATCTTCTGCAACTTGAGACCTTGTGTAAGATAAAACTTCAGATTGCGGTAATGGATCACATACTTGACTTTATCCCAGAGATTGGGTACCAGTTTTTCCACTTTACTCGGCTTATACCCCAGGTCTTCCTTTAATTGCTGCTGATAGGGGGAGAGCATCTCGTGGGAAATCGACATTTTTTCTGGAGCCAGTGGGTAATCTGAGTGGAGATCGTGTAGATCGTTAGGATACTTTAGATCCACCTCTAAAAAGTAACCAATGTCAGCATCATCTTCTACTGACATGACATTGAAGCTTTGTATATCTTTCCCATCCATCCATTTGAAATCACCCACTGGGAGTGATTGAATCATCGCTAACCCATAAAGGTTGTTTGCATCTTGGTAGATATTAAAACTGCTAGGCTGTTCAGGATTGTAGTCCTTTAGGTACTTGTTGTTGGCTTGAGCATAGCGATGGGTAATCATCGAAATACCACCTCGCATGCCTTTCTCTAAGAACTGATGCATTTCAATGTCATAGAGGGTTTCCAGCTTGACTTTGGTAAACTTTAAGGCAGCATCCCATGCTAGTCCAGGGACTGTGTAATAGTGAGCGGGATCTAAATCATAATTCTCAATACACACTTGACGAAACTGCTCGAAGATATCCGCAAGCAAAAAGATATCTTGAAATAAATAGAGGTCGTGATATTCCCCCAAAGTTTGACAACCCATTGTCTCCCAAACTCTCTGTGCAAACTCGTACTTTTCTTGGGAAATAGCATCTCCAGTTAAGTCATTGTGGAAGGCTTGTTTTGAGGGTAGACTTGTTTCTTCAAAAACTTCAAAATTCTTCATATAGGAATAAGGGTAGACACCTTTCTGGCATAATAGATTGACATCGTCAGGTTTGTTAAAACCCCACACTTTTTCAAAATGTTCCTTGAGATGTGGGAACTCTGTAAGATTTCCAGCCAAAGCATCCAAACTAGCACCCGGTCCCAAGAATTGGAGGGAATCGAGAAACCTTAAGTTTCCAAGGCTAAAGGAAACGTACTTTTCCATATTGTTCGGGATGACGCTTATTCTTTTCTTGTTGGCATATCTGTGAATCCCCTGCATGATGAGGTGGGAATCATACCCGCGCAAATTATGGAAGAACACCGGGATGTGTGTTGTACGCCGCTTGTTCAGATTACATGAAAAATGCGCCGCTCCGCGGTATTCTCCTGTAGCGTGATTGTGATCGCGTACTTTGCACCAATTTTCTTCTTTCTCATAGAAGAGCTCTTCACACATATAACAATGAGTAGCAGCTTGAAAATCGGCTTCCTGTTCTTCAGTCATTACCATAGGTTTAACCTCTAGCTGGTAAGGGAGCAGTTCCTTTTCAATTTGCTGGAGACTTTCCATCAGCTGGTCAATGACTTGCTCACTGGTCTCTTCTAGAGACATGTCTGAATTTGGTGAGGGACGATATAGAAAACTACGTGATTCTACCTCAGGATGATTGGAGATTAAAACCCACGCGACACTGCAGGGGATATGTTTTTGCACTTTAACGGTCTTCTCGTTGTCGCCTCCTTCTTCACATTCTTGGAGAAGGCATTCAAAATCACCATAGATTCTAAATAAACTTTCCTCTGTCTTTGCCCAGTTTTTGAACGAAATTTCTTCGTCGACCACTTGAACCGCTTGAATGGGGATATGACGACAAATTTCAGAATGCTTTTCAAGTAAATCAGGGCGTATGAAACCTTGAAAGCAGCGTTGACAAAAAAAAGTTTGCTCATGATGAGACTTGGTTCTAGAGAGAAGTCTGTTAAAGTTTTTCACCAGAGCGTAGTGATGCTGTTCTTCACGCCCCCAGTAGAGCAGAACGCCATGCTTTTCGAGTTGCTGATCTGGTACTCTAAGAGGCAACATGATCGAGGGTAAGACAACTCCCTTTTTGCTTCTCTCTGGTTTATCGATACCAATGACAGTGACACTGATTCCTGGATTCTGTTTCTCAAACTTTCCAATCTGATCAATGGTGACGGGGAAGTCGATTCCATCAAAATTGAGTTCGTCTTTATACTCATGGTACTTACTGACTCGCTCTGCATTCTTTAAAGTTGGATGGAGGGCTGCCAGGACTGACCACTTAAAACATTCCTGGTCATCATTTTTCACATTGACAATAGCTTTGGTATCATAGACATCTTTCGGGAGTTCTATATACGAGCTCCCTCCTAAGGGTTGGTAATCCACCATTTCCAACACCAATGCATGATTTCTTGAGAGGGTCCACCCAGAGCCAGCTTGCATAAAGGTAGACATCCGCTCTTCTACAGCTTCCATCGCCATGTTTAGTTGCTCCCTGAGCTGTTGAGGGTAGGTGCTGGTGATGGGATGAGGTGTTCTAAAGTAACCATTGTTTATCATAGGCTCTGTTCGATATTTATCTGGCATGGTGAGTGTACAATGATACATCAAGTTCCACTTAACACCTTTCTTTTCTTTCAGGACTTTCTGTAGATGTCTTTCTAANCCATATTGTTCGGGATGACGCTTATTCTTTTCTTGTTGGCATATCTGTGAATCCCCTGCATGATGAGGTGGGAATCATACCCGCGCAAATTATGGAAGAACACCGGGATGTGAGTTGTACGCCGCTTGTTCAGATTACATGAAAAATGCGCCGCTCCGCGGTATTCTCCTGTAGCGTGATTGTGATCGCGTACTTTGCACCAATTTTCTTCTTTCTCATAGAAGAGCTCTTCACACATATAACAATGAGTAGCAGCTTGAAAATCGGCTTCCTGTTCTTCAGTCATTACCATAGGTTTAACCTCTAGCTGGTAAGGGAGCAGTTCCTTTTCAATTTGCTGGAGACTTTCCATCAGCTGGTCAATGACTTGCTCACTGGTCTCTTCTAGAGACATGTCTGAATTTGGTGAGGGACGATATAGAAAACTACGTGATTCTACCTCAGGATGATTGGAGATTAAAACCCACGCGACACTGCAGGGGATATGTTTTTGCACTTTAACGGTCTTCTCGTTGTCGCCTCCTTCTTCACATTCTTGGAGAAGGCATTCAAAATCACCATAGATTCTAAATAAACTTTCCTCTGTCTTTGCCCAGTTTTTGAACGAAATTTCTTCGTCGACCACTTGAACCGCTTGAATGGGGATATGACGACAAATTTCAGAATGCTTTTCAAGTAAATCAGGGCGTATGAAACCTTGAAAGCAGCGTTGACAAAAAAAAGTTTGCTCATGATGAGACTTGGTTCTAGAGAGAAGTCTGTTAAAGTTTTTCACCAGAGCGTAGTGATGCTGTTCTTCACGCCCCCAGTAGAGCAGAACGCCATGCTTTTCGAGTTGCTGATCTGGTACTCTAAGAGGCAACATGATCGAGGGTAAGACAACTCCCTTTTTGCTTCTCTCTGGTTTATCGATACCAATGACAGTGACACTGATTCCTGGATTCTGTTTCTCAAACTTTCCAATCTGATCAATGGTGACGGGGAAGTCGATTCCATCAAAATTGAGTTCGTCTTTATACTCATGGTACTTACTGACTCGCTCTGCATTCTTTAAAGTTGGATGGAGGGCTGCCAGGACTGACCACTTAAAACATTCCTGGTCATCATTTTTCACATTGACAATAGCTTTGGTATCATAGACATCTTTCGGGAGTTCTATATACGAGCTCCCTCCTAAGGGTTGGTAATCCACCATTTCCAACACCAATGCATGATTTCTTGAGAGGGTCCACCCAGAGCCAGCTTGCATAAAGGTAGACATCCGCTCTTCTACAGCTTCCATCGCCATGTTTAGTTGCTCCCTGAGCTGTTGAGGGTAGGTGCTGGTGATGGGATGAGGTGTTCTAAAGTAACCATTGTTTATCATAGGCTCTGTTCGATATTTATCTGGCATGGTGAGTGTACAATGATACATCAAGTTCCACTTAACACCTTTCTTTTCTTTCAGGACTTTCTGTAGATGTCTTTCTAACCTTGTAAGCGTATCCTTAAAAAAGACTTGCTGATCCATAACCTGTGTTTCTGTTTTCGGGTAGAAAAATGCATCCACTTTAACCCCTTTCATGGCAGAGACTTCCTTATCAGCAGGTGAAACTCCATCAACTTTCTCTGGTAGTTTGATTTTCTTGACTTCCTTCTCATTTTCTTCCTGTAATTGTCGTTTAATGTTACCTCCTAATTGCGATAGGTGAGCGTGCTGCTGGTGGTGTTCCAATGTAGCTTTACGGGAAAAGCGTTTTCCACAGTTAGCAAAGGTGCACTGGAAAGGTTTAGCTTTTTCTTTTCCACAATGCTCCTCATGAAGGTAAAGGGCCATTTCATACTGGAATGGTTTTTTACAGTTTCTACAGCAAAATCCTTGAGTTGCCACTGACTCTGAATGTTTTTCCGTTAAATGTTTCTTCAAATCATCTTTTCTGGAATACGTCTTATGGCAGTAGGGGCATTGAACGCGATGCTCAGTCGTTCCACAGCGTTTAACATGACGGTGAAAATGGGTTGAATGTTTAATCCAAACACCGCACTTGGGACACTTCTTTCGAACTTTATCCATGACTCTAATAGGACCCGGAGATGTGAACAGTTTAGCGATCTGAAATGAAATGAAATGAAGTCTGCATTAGGACCCGGCCTTTTATACTTTTATTTTTAGAACCGGTTGAAAGCGGTTAAGAGCAGTGAAAAGCAGCTGAAATCTTTGTAAGAGTTTTTTAGCTGATCGCAGAGTAAAAAAACGCTTATATCAAAGACAAGACAAGCAGTCATGAGTTTAATTTTACGACTAAAATCTTGTAGAGCGAATGCTCTAGCTATGTAAACAGTTTAAACTTAAAACAGCTTACACTTAAACTCCCTACGAACCCATATTTCACGTAGCCACCATCTTGTATTTTACAATCGATAAGCAAACCTACCCATGACCTCTAAAATGCTGTGTTTTACTACATGCTTTGTGTATTGCGATGTTAGAATATAGCATGTATTACAATCAAAACCAAGTCTCTCTTTTTTTTTACCGTAGAAAAAGATATGTTTGATATAGTCAACACATGACTGATGGATAGCGATTGAGCGTTTTCTCACACAGCAAAGCACTCTTTAGAGCAAGCAGTAAAACGCTCTAGGAAGCGCTCTAAAAAGCGCTGTACTGAGTAAACAGTATACGAAAAATTTAGGTTAGCAAAACTCAATGAATCAATTGTTAATTTAAGTGAGGTTCAAACATGAAGCGAAGCGCTCTTATGGGTGAACAGATAAGATCTTGATACATACCCTTAAACTTCATTCCATGTGATAGCTATAAAAGATGTTACGATCCAGAAGGTCACTTCGTTGGATATGTACTTCTCTGCTTTCTAAATAATTTTTCAGATCTCATATCACTTAAATGGTTTACTAGGCATGCCTTTGCTTGTCTTAGATTGTTTTGCTGACTCAGGGAATTTTCATGTAAATTTTGAACTGTATGTGAATTAGCATATGAAACCACTCAGTGGAGCGCATCCATAAATCTCTTAGAAAACGTTACACACTATAACATGATTAATA